GAAATTCAAGCGGCCAGTGTAGACAGCTGGCAAGTTTTTCCGGAAAAGCAGCTGCTTTTCCGGAAAAAGTGGCCAGTCTAGACACAGACGTTAAGTTTCTTGAAGGTCAGTTGTTTGTCCTCGAAAGACATCTGAGCAACTACTGCATATTTCCATTTCCTTTTCTGCAAGTCTACCATTACTTTTCTTTGAATCTGCATTTGTTCTGTATACATGTCCATTTTTATTTAAGATGCGCTGTGATGCATTGCTATATTCTGCCTCAGTACAAGGAGAACACTACTCTCACATTTTTGAGTTTCAAGTCCACCAACTCAGCAGTCATTCTAAGAAAGCCAAGTGCTTATCCAGGACCAGGCAGTTCAAGGAAAACATTCTTTGGTAGATTCTGCATCCCACTGAGTCCTTCTCCATGCAATTAGGGTACGTCTACACTGCAACATTATTTCAAAATAACTAGCACTATTCCAAAATAACTTAAGTCTGCGTCTACACAGCAGGCAGTTATTTCAAAATAGTGTCAAAATACTGTCAAGTTGGAGTACTTCTTACTCCCACTCCTGTAACCCTCATTGTACGAGGAATAAGGGACGTCGGAGGAAGAGTGCTCTATTTTGAAATAAATGTGGTGTAGACGCTCCTTATTTTGAAATAAGCTATGCAACTGATGCAACTCAATTTGCATAGCTTATTTCAAATTAAGTCCTGCTGTGTAGATGCATCCTTAGAGACCAATCATGACAGTTTTAGTTATTCTGAAGCTGCTGCACAGTACCATTTCCTTTTTGAAATATAACAATCCAAGATAAAGAAAGTAGTAAGGAAAACAGTACACCCAATTCCAATATTGTATAGACTTGCCAACGAAGCCTGCATGAACTTTTTGCCTTTTTCTTTAAATTGGAATCTTACAAGCAACAAAGACATCTCTTTAGAACTAATCAAGGGAAACAATCTTCTTTTGATATTAAGCAGTTCTCTCTCATAAGCAGATACACAGATGAGGCAAATATTTTTAGGAATACATCACCTACCGGAGACATAGTTCAACAGAGAAGAATTGGGCGCTGAACATTCCATACTTCATCAATTGCATAGCCTGGAGACAAGCGATCTGTAGCTACATACCATTAGTCAACAATTTTGAAGAATCCCAAGCACTGTTACAGGCTAGGGACTGACTGGCTAAGTAGCCAGTTTTTTGTTTTATTTCAGACCAGTTCCACAAGCCAAATACACAGAGAAGGATTGGAACTCCACTTGATTCTCAAGTTTAACTCTCATGCAAATGGTCTAAATCGTGATATCAGATGGATGGATCACACATTATCAACCGACCAACAAAGGTGCCAATGGTTCTTGATGTCTGTGTAGAATCTGGTGTTAGTACTCTGCCTTTCCTAGTGTAAACTAATGGTTCTTATTAGCCTCTTTTAACTATTTAGTCTTTGAGATGCTAAAAGACTATTTGTTGTTTACATTTTCCCCTTTACAACGATCCCTTTGCAAATTATCTACCCAATGTCCTCTTCCCCCCTCCAATTTTTTTCCTCCCCCCCCCCGCTTCTTCCCATAGAGTATGTCTACACTACAGTGTTATTTCGAAATATCTTCTTTCGAAATAACATGTCTACACACAAAATGCATTTTGAAATAGCATTTTGCTATTTCAAAATAGCACGTCCACACTGAGTGGACTCTGAATCGCATTTAAGGCTGGCCAGAACCAGGTCCGGCAGAGCACCAGGTCAGGACTTAATGTGTGGGGCTACTGCCTGAGACTATCTTAGGTCTGTGCTTAAAGGGCCCCCTCCTGGACAGCCAGTTCTCAGGTTTACCTGCTTGGTTACCAACCTCCATGAGGGACAGCAAAACATTTTGTCTCTGCATGCTCTGGTTGCCCACAATCGGGACACCACAGCATTCTGCAACATGGAGCCAGAGCAGCCCCTGGGCACTCTGGTGCTTCTTGTGGTCATGTTGCTGTTAGCCCGGCTGCACTTTCTGCAGGCTGCTTTCCGGGAGGTCCATCGGGGGGCTGTCAGCATCCAGGAGGCCCTGCAGGAGAGCTTCCACCCTGAGGAGCACTAAGAGCCTCCCTGGACTGCCCCACTGGGGGCTTGTGCCTCATTCCTCCCTCAAGTCCTTCCACTTACCCCTCCCTAACCCCCCTTCCTGATATCAAATACAATACACGTATTTTCATGAACACAAACTCTTTGAATTTAATTAAACTGGGGGGGGGGAACAAAACTGGGGGGGAGGGGAAGATTAACCTCTGGCGAGGAGGATGGAGAGGAGTGGGAGAGGGGAGGGGGAAACCTGGGAGGAGGGAGCTGGAAGGGGAAAGAAAGGGGAAGAAGGGGGAGGGGAAGCTCAGGGCTCAGGATTGGGGGTCTCGCCGGGCCAACTTAATTTTCATGCAAACCTGCTCCTGAGTTCGCATGTGGCCTTTGGTGGCTAGGCTGGCAGCTATCCTGCCATAGACGGCCGTGTTGCTCCATCTAGGGCTGAGATCATGGATGTCGGGGGCATCCCTCCCAAACCTGAATAAGGTCCATGATCTCCACCCTGGACCAGGAAGGCACCTGTCTTCTCCAGCCCCTGTCAGGCTCCTGGGAGCTGGCAGACTGCTCCTGGGGAGCGGTGGAGGGCTGGCTGCCAGTAGCTTGCTGGCTCATGTTTTGGGGCCACTGGGTCAGGGGCAGGGACTGCTGGCTCTGGGCGGGGAGGTGGCTGGCTGGCTCATGTTTTGGGGCCACTGAGTCAGGGGCAGTGACTACTGGCTCTGGGCTGGCAGGCTTGAACCTGGCATAGGCACTGTGGCCAGAGTCTACCCCTTTAAGGGCTCCAGGAAGCAGGGGGAGGGAGAGGAGTGTTCTTGGTTGAGGCTGGAGTGGCTGGAGGCTCCCCTATTCTGAAATAAGTGTCTACACAGCACTTATTTCAAAATAGCTATTTTGAATTTGGCATTATTCCTCATAGAATGAGGGTTACCAAATTTGAAATAAGTACTCCGCTATTTTGAATTTATTTTGAAATAGCAGTTTGGCTATGTAGACGCTAGGGAAGTTATTTCGAAATAAGGGCTGTTATTTCAAAATAACTTTGCTGTGTAGACATACCCTTATTTATTCTTGGTTCTGGACTTCCAATACTCTGGTCATCTGAAGAAGTGGGCTGTGCCCACAAAAGCACATGATACCATCTACATGTTTTGTTAGTCTGGTACAACTTTAAAGACTATTTGTTTTTTAAGTTTTTTGCTAAGTAGCGGTTCGGCAGAAAAGGACCTGGGGATTACAATGGATGTGAACCTGGTTATGAGTCAACAGTGTGACCTTGTAGCCAAAAAAGCTAATGACATATTAGGGTGCATTAAGAGGAGCATTTCCAGTAAATCTAGAGAAGTAATTATTCCCCTTTATTTGGCTCTGGTGAAGCCACATCAGGAGTATTGTGTCCATTTCTGGGTTCCCCACTATAGGAAGGATGTGGATGCATTGGAGAGGGTCCAGCAGAGGGCAATCAAAATGATTAGAGGGCTGGAGCACATGACCTATGAGGAGAGGCTGAGAGATTTGGGCTTTAGTCTGTAGAAGAGAAGATTGTGAGGGGGGATTTGATAGCAGCCTTCAACTTCCTAAAGTGAAGTTCCAAAGAGGATGGGAAAAGGCTGTTCACAGTAGTGACAGATGGCAGAACAAGGAGCAATGGTCTCAAGTTACAGTGGGGGAGGTCTAGGTTGGATAGTAGGAAAAACTATTTCACTAGGAGGGTAGTGAAGCACTGGGATGGGTTCCGTAGGGAGGGGGTGGAATCTCCATCACTAGAGGTTTTTAAGTCTCAGCTTGACAAAGCCCTGGCTGGATTGATTTAGTTGGGATTGGGCCTGCTGTGGGTAGGGGGCTGGACTCGATCACCTCCTGAGGTCTCTTCCAGCCCTAGGATTCTATGCTGTTTATATTTTGTCAGCCAAGATTTAACTACTCCAGAGCTGGACCGTAGATAGCGTAGTCTTTTCATTCAAGCTTAGCATCACACACACATTTCTACATAACTCACTCAATATAAGTCTTCTGGTTATCATGGATTGAGTACAAAAAGATGGTGATACACAGCATTAAATACAAACAAAGACTTTATTGAATGCTGCTCAATCCCCCAGTGAAGATTATTACAAAACAGTTTTCACACAGCTGCAATTTAAGAGATTGGAATGGTATATCTGATAAAAGATGTAAGAGACTTGATTAAGTAAAACAAGACTTCTATAGTCAGCTTTTCCCATCTTATATTTAAAAAGCATACTGCATTTTCATTAAATAAAACAAGGTATTTGTGGTTAGTGCTCTGCACTTCCATATTAGAAACCTTGTTTGGAATATTGGAATTTGTCTCACTCTCCAGATCCAACAGAAGCTGAAAGAGCTGCAGAAACAGCTCACTTAGCCTCTGGAGGAGGGAACTGTATTGTTCTTCAGAGATTCCTTGGGCTGACACAAGAGCTTCATTGATGAGCTTCAAGGGAAGCTCCATCCTCAGCTGTAGGATGAGAAACTTAGACTCAGCAGACAGAAGCATGGAGGAGGCATATGAACAGCAAGGAATTCATCAAGTGGAAGGTCAGACACAAGATATACAGTAAACTGTTTAAACTTGAGTTTTATTTTATATTTTCATACTTCATCTGATCTCTAACTTGTGCTTTTCATAATTAAATGTAAACCCACTACACAGGCATCTTCACTCAGTAGAATTATCTATTACAGATCTCATATATTGTTATGGCATACAGTACCCCATCAAGTTACAGGCTGCCCCTGATTTGTGACGCAATCGGTTCCTGGGATAGCGTTGCAAGTCAGGGGCATCGTAACTCGAACCCACATTTACAATAGGCGCTGTGCACCGTTGTAAATGTGGGCTGAGGACATAAGTCGGGAGTTTTTGGCCCCTTCTGCACTTAAAAAAATGGCCATAAGTGCGGGGGGGGCTGTCGTAAGGCAGGGGTTTCCTGTATAGGTAAAAAGTATGTACCTTGATTTATTTAAGAAAATACAGTAGAACTAGAATCCTTTTCTAGAATCTTAACCTAGGACTGCAGCAATGTAAAAAGCATGTATAAAACAAGGGGGAAAAATATACAGAGACTACACCACCTATGTGCAACACAATCAAAAAGAAAATTCAAGTCATAATTCTTACCACTCCCATCATTCTCACTCATATGATAGATAAAATTCATTTCTGTAAAACTTTAGAAGTGACATATCAATGATTAGACAAATTTACAATATGCTGTGGTAATGATATATCTTTCAACTATTGTATTTAAATTCATAGATCTTTTTTTCAATTTACATATCGCCAGAAAAAAAGCTGGCGTTTCTACTATATTGCTGAAATTTCTGTTTTGCGATTTTTACATATTTAAAAAATGTGTACAAAAGTATGTCTGTTAAGTAGAGGTCATCATCTCTTTACTTGGCACTTGTACTGTTGTGTGCATTTAGCACATTGTGAGCACTGTTTTGCTTTTCAGTCAGAGTCGTCTTTAGCTTCAGCTCATCTAACTTCCTCCACAATTCTTCACGTTCCAGTTCCTTCTTTTTTTCTCTACAGATAAAATAAAATAATTAGACATGTCTGTGTTCCACATGCAATTGTAATTACTTTGAGGAAACAGCATATGCTATTATTATTTACTACAAAGTTCTTCTGTATTTTTTAAAGTCACCTCCTGTAAGGTATCAGGAGTTTTACCATGCCAAATACCAAAATTTAACTTACTGATTCTCAGTGGCAGAATGGGATATCTGTCTTTAAGAGATTATACCCAGCTATGACAAACCAATAAGTCAATTTCACTATAAATATTGCAATTTTATTCACATTACTAAATTCAGCACATACTTTAAGTGATGCATTTCAGAAACACAAACAAAAGAAAATGAATACCTTTGTCTTTCTGCTTTGTATGAGCTTGTAAGTTCATCAAATAGCTTGCCATTCATTTCCATTAATGTTTTCAGCACATTATACACTAGTGCTACAATGGTACTAGAACAAAAAGGAAGGCACTGTAAATTACTGGATATAAGATTCATTTACTAGCATCTGTTTTAAGTGTCTGACTTTCCCTTTCTGTTCTAGCTCTATTGTATTTACAAGTAAGTTTTAAAAGCAATGTTTATTATATATAGTCTCCTATATGCATGAACTTGAGAATTCATTAAACATGCATTTAGTATATTTGGCTCATTGCCTTGGTTTATAAAACATTAAAATTGGAAGGCTTCACATAAACCAGCCATAGTGAATGATTTTTAAAATATTAATTTCCTCCAAGGCTGCAAAAAGATAGAACTTGATTAAGGTAACTGTCATAGTGTTTTAATAGAATTACATTAACAGTAAAATGGGTAATGTAATATAAATTATTAAACAGATTAAGCGCTTCTACTTTCTCATGTTAGTTTCTCAAACTTCATTTTAAATAAAATAAAATATTAATGTTTTCTTTATTTATGGCAGGGGTGGGAAACCATTGTGTCAGGGGACACTGACCCACAGAAAAATCAGTTAGGGACCACACAAGTGAGAAGGAAAGCGCTCCTCCCAAAACCTCCAACTGGCCCCCAACTGAGACACCTCACTCCTTTGGTGCTCCAGCCTCATGGGGTAAGAAGGGAAGAGACGGAGGACTGAGGTTCAGGGCTTCCCATAGGCCAGATTTACTTTTCTGGGGTTCTGCAGTTAGTGAATTTTGTGGCTCCCCTTAGGCTCTGGGGTAGGGACAAAAATGAGGGGTTTAGTGTGTGGGACAAGGCTGCAAGTGAGTGGGACAGGGATGGGATGCAGGAACTGGGAGGGAAGTAGGGTGCAGAAGGAGGCTAGGAGTATGATGTCTGGCCAGGGGAGAGGGTGCAGGAGGAAGGGAGGGTGCAGAAGTGGATGGAGGGTAGGATGTCTGGCAAGGGCCAGAGTGGCTGAGGGGGTTCAGGGAGATGGGGAGCAGGGTGCCCTTAGCCTGGGGTCAAGGTTGCTTTGGGCAGGTTCAGGGAAATGCAGGGGCAGGGAGGCTGGGCACAGCAAAGCAAGGTGGGGATAGATGGATAAGTGACCCTGGGGTATTCAGCCCTGCAGGATTAAGGACTAGAACTATTATTTGGCTGCAGAGTGCCATATACACATATGACATTATACATGCATTGTTAATTTCAAATATTTATTAAATTAAAAACAAGTTTCAAGGGAAATAAAAGAGGTATAGCAGGTTATCTGTTTTCATCATACTATCATAAAATACTAGAACTGGAAGGGACCTTGAGAGATCATCAAGTCCAGTCCCCTGCACCCATGGCAGGACCACACATCATCTAGATCAGGGCTGCTCAACTTTGGAAGCCCTGGGGGCCACAATGATAATCACAGCACATGCCGAGGGCCACAAATTAAATGCAAATATATATGCAAATAGCTTCTTTCGCACTCACCGTCATGAATACAAAGATTAAGACAAGACTACAGGACACACAGGCCCCATTTAAGTCTGTTCTGATGATATTAATAAAAGGCAATATTTACCCGATTTCTACCCATATGACAGCATTTTTAGTGAGCAATGACAGTCCAGGAATTTAACTACTAAAACGCTTATCAACAGAAGACCATTATCCTGACTTATCGTTATGGAGCGTGTTCCCAGTGGAGACCAGGTTCAAGGATCCCACCCACAGGCCACATGTTGAGCCCAACGTAAACCCAAACTGTACCACGGGCCGCAAACAAATAGGCCGCATGTTTAGTAGCCCTGATCTAGATCATCCCTGACAGATGTTTGTCTAACCTGCTCTTTAAAATCTCCAATGATGGAAATTCTAGTGCTTAATCTCTCTGACAGTTATCATTCGCCTTTAGGAAGTTCAAAGAGCAAGTCAATCATACTAAACAAACAGGAAACCAAGATTCACTGTATTTTGTTCGCTTACCATTTACCCTCCCAAATTACCAGGATGGAAAACATTTCCCAAATACAGCACCAGAAGAAACCTTAAAATCCAATTTAGAATACTTAGTATGTTTACTGAATGCATCCCTACAAGTACCCACAGCATAAGCTTTCTCCTTCAACATCAGATTAAAGCCGAGTAAACTTTTGTTTTCTAGTTAGAGGAAAAAATGTAATTTTGAAGTATGTAATTCTGAAACATCTGTATCCTGGAGTATCAAGGAAACTTTTCCCTTTTTATCTCGATTAGCAGGATGGAACCAGAATAAAAGAAACCTTTCTGAACTTATTAATCCTCTAGTTATACCGTCTTATCTTATTAATGGCATAATGTAGATCATGAGAATTGGGGCAAAACAATGACTTCTCTTGTGACTGAGGAAAAAATTCACTTCAGGCCTCAATTTTGATGAAGCTCTAAGAAACACATGACAGAAGAGAAAGTTACTAACCTTATACAGTAATGATGGTTCTTCAAGACGTGTCCCCCTACAGGTGCTCCATTGTAGGGGTATATGAGCCACTGCGTCTCTAATTGGAAATTTTTGGTAGCAGCGCCCCTTGAGCCTGTGTTCTCTCCCTCGTGATATACCTCGAGGCTATCTAGCACTGCATGGGTGAAAGCCTTTCACTTCCTTCTCTACCACAGATCCCTATATAGAACTCTGAACTAGAGGGGAGAAGGGTGGTTTGTGGAGCACCCATAAGGACAGACTTATTGAAGAACCATCATTACACAAGGTAACTTCCTCCTCTTCTTTGAATAGTGTGTCTTTGGGTGCTCCACTGTAGGTGACTCCAAGCAGTACTACTCATCACTGGAGACCGGAACTTCAGAGTGAAGTCTGTTACTACACAAAATACTACGGAAATAAAGATGGCATGAGAGCCAAATCTTTGGTGATCACAATGTTCTGAGTGTGTGTAGGCAGAGGCTCAAGTTGCTGCTCTATAGATTACTGAGATAGGAATATCTATAAGGGATGTGACCAAGGTAGAAATTAACCTCACTGAGTGCATATGGACTCTGGATGGAAGCACATTGTGCCCTTGACAACATAGGCAGATACAATGCCACCAGGTGCTTTTTGTTCCGGACGCACAGTTCCCACTGCAAGAGCGCCTCCTGATGAAGGGGAAAAGAATGAGCACCACTGTGTTTGCTGATATAAAACATTGCTGTGGTGTTGTCCACCCTGATCGTAACACACCTGCCCCTTATTTCATTGGCTAATGCCTCACAGGTCAACCGAATAGTCCTGAGCTCCTTGACATTGCTAGGCATTGACATTCCTCCTGCAACCACATGTCCTGTGTCTTTAATTCACCCAGATGAGCACCCCATCCCAAAGTCCAAGGCATCCATTACTAGTGTCAATACAAGGTGAGGGGCATGAAAGAGAACATTTTCCCACATGTTCATGGGGTCCAACCACCACTGAAGAGTGCACAGAATCAACGGGTGCACTGTCCAGCAGATGACAAGCTGGTTTGTACACCTGGGCCAGCCAAGCCTGCAATGCAGCCTGGCGAACCGGACAGCATAGGTGTATGCAGCCATTATGACCCAGCAATCTTAGGGTGTGTCTAGACTACATGCCTCCGTCGACGGAGGCATATACATTAGACAGATCGGCAGAGGGAAATGAAGCCGCGATTTAAATAATCGCGGCTTCATTTAAATTTAAATGGCTCCCCTGCTCTGCCAATCAGCTGTTTGTCGGCAGAGAGGGTCAGTCTAGACGTTCTCCTGTCGACAGAAAACCCTTTTGTCAACTGCCTCAGTAAACCTCATCCCACGAGGCATAACGGGGCGGTCGACAAAAAGATTTTCTGTCGACAGGGGAACGTCTAGACTGACCCGCTCTGCCGACAAACAGTTGATCGGCAGAGCAGGGCATCCATTTAAATTTAAATGAAGCCGCGATTATTTAAATCGCGGCTTCATTTCCCTCTGCCGATCTGTCTAATGTATATGCCTCCGTCGACGGAGGCATGTAGTCTAGACACACCCTAAGATTGCTGGGTCATAATGGCTGCATACACCTATGCTGTCCGGTTCGCCAGGCTGCATTGCAGGCTTGGCTGGCCCAGGTGTACAAACCAGCTTGTCATCTGCTGGACAGTGCACCCGTTGATTCTGTGCACTCTTCAGTGGTGGTTGGTCCCGGCCATTGTCATGGGGAAGACCCCCAGACACTAACAGGCTGCACATGCTTTCAAAATGGGGCTGAGGGAGGGATGCTCTGGCTGCCACTGTGTGGGCCCCTATGAACTCTGTCACCTGAGTGTACTACCTGAATGGAGGCGAGGGTAGACTTTTGCATATTTAGCAGCAGGCCCAGGCAACAAAACATGACTTTGACCAGTTCCATGTGACCGTCCATAACTGACGTGGACAGTCCCTTGATCAGCCAGTCATTGAGGTAAGGGTACATCTGAACCTCGCTTCTCTTCAGGAAGACTGCTACCACTGCCATGCACTTTGTGAAGACAGTGGGCGCAGCCAACATGCCGAACAGCAAAACTTTGAACTGGTAGTGGGACGACCCCAGTACAAAACAAAGGAACCTTCTATGTGCTGGAACTATAGACACATGGAAATATGCATCCTTCAAATCGAGGGTGGCATACCAATCTCCCAGATCCAGGGAGGGGATAATTGAATCCAGTGAACCATATGAAATTTTAGCTTTTAGGTACCAGTTGAGACCACAGACATCTAATATGGGGCGTAATCGCCTTTTGGCCTTTGGAATAAGGAAGTAACCGGAGTAGAACCCCATGCCCCTGAACTTATGAAGGAGTTCCTCTACTGTTCCCAGCTAGAGGAGTGACTGAATCTCCTGTAGAGGAAACTGCTCGTGGGAATGGTCCCTGAAGAGGGATGGGGCACAGGGTAAGAAGCGGGGAGGGAAATGGAATAGAATATCCTATTCTGACCCTGCCTAGAACCCATCTGTCGGATGTGATCTGAGCCCAGGCCTGGTATAAAAAAATGAATACATGGTTGCCAAACATAGGGATAGGTCCAGGAAAGAGATTTGTATGTCGCCCTCAAGTGTGGTTTCAAAAGTTGTTCTTAGGCCCTGGGGATTGCCTAGATGAAGCAGAGCCCTGACTGTTTCCTCCCCCTCTACTGTCACTGTTCATGCTTGCGGGCATTTGTGATTCTTTCTATTACCCCTTCTACCTGAGTCCTGTCTCTGGTGCAAGGGGTAATAACGCGGCAGCGGTGAGGTAAAGTGTTTACATAGGGTAGCTGGCATATGGAGGCCCAGATACTTTAATGTAGCCCTAGTGTTCTTGAGGCTGTGAAGCCTGGAGTCAGTCTGCTCTGCAAACAGGTCTGAGCAGTCAAACAGTAAGTCCTGAATCATCTGCCTGACCTCTGGTGAAATATCTGATACCTGCAACCATGAATTATACCTCATGATGATGCCCGTGGACATCGTACAGGTAGCAGAGTCCACTGCATCAAAAGCCACCTGAAGAGAGATTCTTGAAATCACTTTGCTCTCCTCAACCAAGGCATCGACCTTGAACCTCGACTTTGTAGGCAGGAGTGGCCAGACATTAATTCAATGAGGTCCAAAGCCACTTCATAGAGCTCAGGGGTGGACAGCATGTCCACATCTCCCATCTGGTTCTCTCTAGACAGAGAATCCATCAATACTGAACTCGATGGAACCAGCTGTGGTGCTGGAGTCAACAGTGCTTGGAGGGCAGGCTGTTTGGCAGGATGCTCTGGCTACAGATGTGACCATTAGACTTGCATGCTTTTAAAGTAGGAGACCTTCCCTTTTACTGCCTCTGCTGCTTCCTCTGCACCGAAGAATGGAAGCCGTGCCAGAACGTGGCCTTTAGTCCTTGGGACCGTCAATGCTGAGAGATCTTCTCAGACTCCTTATGCAGAGCTGGTGCACTCTGTACTGACGATGGCATACTTCTTAAGGAGGCCGACTGATCCAGTCCTGTGGCCTTCAAAGGTTCAGGGAGACCTCCATTAGGATGTTCTGGAGGCAAAACTCCCTGTCTCTCAGAGTCCTTGATGTAAATGCTTTGCGGATCTTGCATTTGTCTGCAAGGTGAGTCACTCCCAAACACAAGACAGGAGATGTGTTGGTCACCAATAGGGATAAACTTGGTGCACTCCTTGCACAGTTTAAAACTGTAAAGCAGAGGCATGCCCTGACCCTGACGGCAGGGAGGAAAATAAGGACTCCCTGCAGATAACTATAAACTACTAATGAACTATCTACAAAACAAAGCTAGGGACTAGCACTTGCTTGATGAAAGAGAAGAAAGAGCTTCAATGACCATCACTGGCTGTAAGAAGGAACTGAGGGAGGGGCAGGTTGGCAGTGGACTATATAACCGTATCATACTGGTGCCACTCTAGGGGTATCCACTATCAACCTATGGAATCCTACTAGGGAAAAAGCTTTCTGATGACTATGCATGTGGAGCACACACACCTGATGCACATGAGCAATCACAGGAGGCTTATTCTTCGGTCAGTACTGAGGTGACAGCTCTAGGGAAACTCTTCTGGTTGCCAAGTTTGTTTTTCTGTCCTGTGGAGTTTGCAGATATGAGGATTTCCCCATCCCATCCCCTGCTGACTAGCCAACCACTCAGAGTTAGTTCTTCTGTCAATACCAAGACTGCAGCTCTGGGGAAACACCTCTGGCTGCTAATGTCTCTGAGCTTGCATGAGCAGTCTGCTGTGGATTTTTAACAATGACTCTACCCTCAGTGAAGTTAAAGGTTTTGGGGATAGTCCATCAGGAATCACCTGGAGACTGAAGTGCCTTCTCTCTAAGAAGGAGTTTAAAACTTCAGCTCCCAATTCCTGTGGTAGTTGAAGCATTTCTATGAGGCTGTCCCAGGCATCAGACACAGTGCGAGTGTCTGGTTATTCTAGAAACTGCTTAAAGGAGAGGCACTTCTCAGAGCTAGTAGAGCTAAGAATGCCCCCAAGTCAGGTTTGGGGGCAGATCAATCTCTAGCAATGAGGAATGCAGAAGCAAGCAGGTCATCTTTACTTCTTTTCCTCTTCTTTTACCAGAGGGGAGAAAAATGGCAGGGATGGGGGGGAGAGAAGGGGAAGGAGAAGGACTCCCCAGGTGGACCTGTTCATGTTCAGGCAGAACAGTAAATGCCAGCAGTTCTGCACCATTCAGAGTCTAGACAAGGGTTCCTTCTCAGACAATTTCTTCTCATTCTATGATTGGGGTGCTCATCTATGCCTTTCCAGTAGTGCTATCAATCCCCAGGGTCCCGTGGAAGTCAAGCAGGACAAACTTGATGTAGATGTTGCAAAATACTGTGATTCATGGTCCTTTCCTTGGACTTTGAAGCATCAGGGTGTATTAGAAGTTTCCTAAGTTATCTATATATTTTAGAAATGTGCATGTCAGTTTGCCAGCGAATGTTGTTCAAAAGCTCTTCCTAAACAATAAGACCTAGGAGCACCAAATTTCCTTAGTTTCCTCCTATTCTAACTTAAAGTAAGGTCAGGGTTTGACTGTGCCAGGAAAATGGGAAATGCTGGGTATGGGACTGTTTTCCATAACATGGAAAGGGAGAGGGCACAGAGAGGAGGAACATGATACTGATAGTGACCACTGGCAGCACAGGGGAGAGCTGTACTGCAGAGTAACCACTGGGGGCAGCTACACCACCAAGAGTGGTCAGTTGGGGCTAGGAGATGCCACTTTGCCTGCTCCCTCCCCTGTCCCCTCCTCAAAACCACACCCTGACTCCTGCACCCCCATGCTTCCAGCTCTGCCCCCTACATATCCATGGCCCTACCCTGACTCCTGAACCTCTCACACCACTAGCCCTCTACTCTGAAGGATCTGGGCAATGCCAGGTAAGTCTTCTAGTGTTAGTTACTATGTCATTTTACAATGATCACAAAGTCAAACTTGTGTAAAAACCACATCACCATCCAATTTCCTTAGACATTTTGAAGTCAATGGGATTCTCACCTGTGTCAAATTAAGCAACTACATAAATGTCTGCATGATGACAACCTAAGACAGGAACATACACTAATACAATTTATTTCTAGCAATTAAAAAATGTCAAAAGAAACAATACATACGGATTCCAGTGTTCTTTGGAGATCTTGTATAAACTACCAAACATAATTGGTAGAATTTTGTCAATGTTCTCCTCAATGAGACTAAGAATATATTCATTATTCCAGAAATACAAAGCCCTTTCTGCAACCTAAAATACACATTTCAGAATCAGAACCACAAAACAAAATAGTACTAATTAATGTAGAATGCAAATGTGGAATGTTGTTGAAAATACTATTTTAATACCTGAAAATGTGAACTTGACACACACTTGGATATCTGCTTAAATAGAGGTTCTTCTATTTTTTTGAACTGTGTTGGTTCTATTACATCTAAGATTTCTTCAATTTCACCTAAAAACATCACCTGTTTTATAAAGAAAGGTTTTTATATTTATATTTGCTATTCAGAAGGTATAAAGTTTATGTAATTATCACATAGCTAAACTGAGGACACCAGCTGAACAACATTAAAATAGAGTACACACTGACAAGTATATTACATCATCATACAGCATAGTGTGCTATGGCACACTACCTTGTGCAAGTCATCTAATTACAATTTTTCTTCTTTTTCGGTAAGGGAGCTTCTTGTTCACTTCAGTTGCTAGAATACTGTATGACAATCATCTTGTATTGTCTATTCTTCAGGGTTGTTTTTAAAAGATTATTTGAAGATAAAAACTAGAATATATTTCTTCAGCTTTCGCTGCATAGACTTACTCTTCTCTGTTCTGGATTCTTTTTACAAATGCTTCATTTCATTTCACAGAAAATCAAAGACAAGATGACACATAGGAGTTTTCAAGCACACACTTTCATATAGAATTATAACGTTTCTTTGGCAAATGAAGTCACAAAACTCCTAACTATTTTACCTGGGACAGAGCCAATTAGAAAAATGTATTTTTCACAAGACCATTTTAAAATTACATTTTAAGAATTAGACATTATTCTTCCACATGAAATTACAACGTATACTTTTTTTGTAATAAAATAAAGTAATGAAGCTTTTTATTTAATGTTTCAGCCACTGGCAAAAACCTGGTCAAACTTTCACAGTGTTCAAAGTCAGCACTCACTGCAAATGGACTGCACTCACTGTAACTACTAACATGCTTAAAAAAAAGCTTTGTTTTGAAAAATTATACTAATGCCTACCAAAGAACAGGACTTAATGAGAGCATTCCTCTCAATATGATGTTACCATAGGAATATTTAGTGATGAACATATAGAAGAGCATGTACTAATTAGTAGCGCTGCCAGATTTAAAATAAGGTAAGTTTGCACAATTTGTGGCAATTAGTACAGTGAACTTCAGTGCCTTGAGAAATCACTCTTTTATATCAATTACAAGAGAATAATTTATTAAAACATAAGTAACAAGACTAACCTCTTTCTGACTGCAAGTTTTTGGCCAAAATTTGAGCAACCCTCTGATAACCTATGATAATAAAATTTTAAAAAGTTAAACCAGAACAAGTTTCCAATATGTATTCATCTAGATTTTTAATACATATTAAAATTAAATTAGAATAATTAATATTATGATTAATATTTCCCAAAACTATAGTTCAAAGGGGATTGAATCATTTTGGATCATCTGACAGGAGTTTTATCTTATGTTCAGAATACTTTAACAGCTTTACTATCAAATGTACACTGCTTCAAAAAGTTTTCTGAGCATCCAAACAGACCCACTACTGCTTGTAGCTAGACCTCCCCCTAGAAATCCATCCTTTCTGGAGCACTTGTCTCAGCAACTCAAGACCTGGAACCATATAAAACACAGTAGCTGTTGGACCATGCGCTCTCTCAAAGCTGAAAAGCTGTCAAAAAAGGTGAGGAAGAAGAATCATAGTCCAAAACACCTTTTATTCCTTTCTATTATGTGAGATACCAAAAGAGACAAACTGGAAACAGATGACTAACTGCAGAGAAAATATATACAAATAACTTTTCTGGGAGTTAACTTTCTGAGACTTGGGGTACTGCAACACAATTTCAAAATAACTAGCGCTATTCAAAAACAACAGTCCACATCTACACATCCGGAAGTTATTATGAAATAGTGTCAAAATACTGTCAAGCTGGAGGACTTCTTACTCCAACTGCTGTAACCCTCATTCTACGAGGAATAAGGGAAGTCAGAGGAAGAGCGCTCTATTTCAAAGTAAGTGCTGAGTAGATGCTCCCTATTTCAAAATAAGCTATTTTTAAATAAGATACTCAATTGATGTAGCTCAATTTGTGTAGCTTATTTCAAGATAAGCCCTGCAGGGTAGACGCACCTTGATAGAGACCCTACGAAGACTTAGTTATAAGTTACATCTTCTCCAGCTAGTTGAACTCCAAAATAGAAACTGAAGGACTATTCTAGGAAATCTTATTTTGCTTCTTAGTTGAGAGAGTGGTGCTGACTAAAAATGTAAACAGGAATTTCATGTGGACCTGAACCAATTTTACATCTTTCAGAAATGGAGATAAAGGTTGAACCTCCCAAATATGGGACTCTCAGGCCTGGCAACATCTGTGGTCCAGCAGGGCGATGGATGTTGCTGAACCAAAGAACCCTGGAGGCAGGAGCAACGCAGGAGCTGGGGAGCCCTGGAAGCATCTGGGGAGCCCTGCCCTAGCCAGGGAACTGCTGGTGTTAGTGGGGCCAGCTGACTGGGAGTCCCAGCCACAGAACCTCCAGTTGCAGTGGAGCTGTCAACAGCTGGGCAGCCCCAGCCAGGAATCCCAGCAAACCACCATGGGCAGAGAGGCCAGATTGACTGAGCTGCCTCTGCGGGGGAACCCCCAGCTGAAGTGGGACTGGTGGAAGCAGGTGGCCAGAATTCCCAGCATCAGTAGGGCCAGGTGGCAGCTGGGGACCTTCATCCTGGGAATTAGTGGGGCCAGACAGCATTTTGGGAGCTCCCGCCCAGTTGCAGTGGAGCTGTTGACAGCCGGGCAGCCCGCCCCAGCCAGGAATCCCGGCAAACCCCCAGTGGTAGCAGAGCCAGGGTGATCGGGCAGCCTCTGCCAGGGAAGCCCACGGCTGAAGCAGGGCTGGTGGAGGCAGGCGGCTGGAATCCCCAACGGCAGCGGGGCATTCAGACACACCGTCTGGGGAACATCCAGCAGTAACAGGTCCAGGAGCAGCCAGGTGGCCTCAGCTGGGAACCCTTAGGAACACCATGCAGCAGCAGGGCCAGCAGTGGCCAAGCAATCCCCGCAAGGAACCCTGGGAGACCCTGGAGTAGTAGGTGGGCAGCAAGATGGAGAGCTGTGCCAGGCAGTGTTAGGGCAAGGAGCCCTAAGGAGAGGAGCCCACGAACGGGGCAACAAACAGAGGAGCACTGACAGCCCCTGGTCTGGCAAACTCCCTGGTCCAGGACAACTCAGGTCTCAAGGGTGCCAGACCAGGGAGATCCAACCTGTATTTCAGGCATGAGAGTCTGACTTCAAAGAAAGGGCCCCCAATCTTCTGGTAGTCATAGAACCATAGAATACTAGAACTGGAAGGAACCTCGAGAGATCATCAAGTCCAGTCCCTTGCCCTCATGGTAGGATCAAGCACCGTCTAGATCATTCCTGAAAAATGTCTATCCAACCTGCTCTTAAATATCTACAGTGATGGAGATTCCACAACCTCCTTAGACAATTTATTTCAGTGTTTAACACCCTGACAGTTAGGAATTTTTTTTTTCCTCATGTCCAACCTAAACCTTCCTTGCTGCAATTTAAGCCCATTGCTTCTTGTCCTAGTCCCAATCAGACCAGGTTGATCATAACAGGACTGAAATGAGAGCTTGGTCTACTTGGACAATCTTCAAACAGAGTCTAATTCCCCCACTGGATTTATTCCCAGTGGCAGCCAGTTGGGAGGCTTCATGATTTTTTCCCTTGTTTTACTTGGTGACTAGCTTGCATCTCTTGTGAACTAATGTATTATACATAGCCTGGATTCTCCTACTACATTTTGAGTTTTAGAAAAGACTGATGAACTATTTGAAACAGAAATTCAGATGACCTCGTGAAGAATTAAGCCTCCTCCTAAGAAGAGGTTAACTATGAGCACATCACAGTGTTTTGTTAAAAATAAAACAAAATAATGAGGATTTTCCATTAGCAGCATGACCTCACTTTCTCAATGCAATGCTCATGCAAAGGTAGTACAGATAAAACTGTCCTATGGACTCAAAGAAAAAGTAATTTTAAGTCCCTAAAACAGACAGTACCACAGATAAAAATATGGACCAGATCACTAAGAAATACATATTTTGAGCAAATACGAACAGAGGTTTTTGAATGGAAGGATACGTTGCAGCAGTAGCAAGCATTAATTCAAATTGTAACATAAAAAGCAAAAGCAAGCATTCCAAGATGTGTGAAAAAGAGACTAAATAGGGACTAAATCCTCAGTCTCTGGCCAAACTATGGGGCTCTAGTGGAACAGTACATTCCATAGCATACTCCTTCTCTTCTTATGATAAACCATCTTCTTATGAGATGAGGAAACATGCTGTAGAAGACTATGTATTAAAAAAGGCTAATTTTCAAGTTAAACTTGGAAAAATGCCAAATTTAGCAACCACTAAATCCATAAGACCTTGGAGATGAAACAGGGCAGGTCATACATCTCATAGAACTATTCAGGTTTTCTGTAAATTCTGGCATGCACCACTGCACTGGTTCATATTTTCAACATTACCATAGGCTCTGACTTTGAAGATCCATAAAAGAAAGTGTTACTCATCTTGTGCAGTAACAGTAGTTCTTCGAGATGTGTGTCCTCATGGGTGCTCCACTCTGGGTGCTGGTGAGTCCTCATGCCAGTGACTGGAGATTTTTCGAGCAGTATCTACCGTGCCTTGCACACGCCATGGCACCCCTTTGTGCCATTGGTGTCCATTAAGTGTGCACACAGCCCCTCCGTTCCTTCTCTATCCGTGCTATTAGAGCATGGGGCTCCAAAGCAGGGGAAGGAGGGAAGGTAGTGGAGCACCCATGGGGGGGGAGGGGAGAGACACATCTCGAAGAACCACCGTTACTGTACAAGGTGAGTAAGAAGAAGTTACTCACCTTGGTGTGGTAACAATGGTTCTTCAAGATGTGTCCCCCTGTGAGTGCTTCCACTGTTGATGTCGGGCTTGTCTCGGTGCTGGAGCTTGGAGATTTTCATGAGCAGTTGCTAGCTGGACTGCACATATGCGGCACGTGCCCTTTTGATCTGTCGCGCAGTCCGGCTTCCGCCACCTCAAGTCCGCCCTGGTATCTGAAAGATATAATTGGAGAATTCGAAGCAGGGAGGTGGGCAGGTCATGGAGTACCCACTGGGACACACATCGCGAAGAACCATTGTTACTACACCAAGGCAAGTAACTTCTTCTCCTTCGAGTGGTGTCCCTGTGGGTGCTCCACTGTTGGTGAGTATGTAGCAAGTGGAAGGTGGGCCTCGGATTAATGGTCTAACTATTGTAGAGAGGATGGTAGAGGCCACTGCTGTATCTTGTGCTTGAGACTGTAGAATTGCATAATGTTTCATAAAGGTATCATTGGTGGCCCATACTGCCACCCTGCATCTCTCTCTAAGGGGAACACCACGAAGGAATGCCATTGATGCTGCCATAGCTCTTGTAGAACATGCTCTTGGAGTCTGAGGCAGTGGTTTGTTTCTTAGAGTATAACATTGTTTGATGCACGATATGATGAGGTTGGAAATTCTTTGTGATGATAGGAGTTTCCCTTTAGTACACCCGGAGACAGAAATGAGTAGGTGATCTGATTGATGGAAGGATTTTGTCCTGTCAACGTAAAAGGCTTATGTCCTGCATATGTTCTGCAGATGAAACCTTGCATCAGTAGCCATTTGGTGCAGTTTGGGATAGAAGGTAGGGAGTACAATTGGTTTATTCACATGAAATGCGGAACACACTTTGGGAATGAAAGCTGGAGGAGGGCGCAGCACCACCCTGTCCTCACTGAAAACAGCATATGGTGGAGCTGCCATTAGGGCTGCCAACTCACACTCACTCTGTGGGTAGAAGTAATCACCAATAGGAAAACAGGACTATATAGCACTTTAAAGACTGACAAGATGGTTTATTAGGTGATGAGCTTTCATGGGCCAGACCCACTACCTTTTTTTTTTTTAAATCTGAGGTAGTGGGTCTGACCCACGAAAGCTCATCACCTAATAGACAATCTTGTTAGTCTTTAAAGTGCTACATAGTCCTGTTTTTTGTTTCAGCTACACCAGACTAACACGACTACATTTCTATCAATAGGAAAATTACTATCAGCAACATCATATAAAGCAAACAGATTGCGAGAGGTTCAAAGGGGGTGTGGACTAGAATATCCAACGCCATTTCTAGGCTCCACAGCAGCAGTGGCGGTCTTCGTAGTGGATATAGGTTGATGATACACTTACGGAATCTTCTTGTCGTAGGGTGG